ATACTTTTAAATAATAAAAACAATTATAAGTTATAAAATTAAAACTTATTCATATCGCATTTTATCTTGTTTATAACTATTAACAAAATAACCTTACAATTTACTAATAAATTTTCAAAAACTCTTGATATAGTGGATTTTTGAGAATTTTTTACTAATAGATTTTTTTGATATATTATAAAGAGAGTTACTATATACATATATTCTATATCAGTATAAATATATTTATTTATCATTATTTATTAAGTAAAAATAACTTAATTAGTGATAATTAATAAACTTAATCATATGCATAATTGTGTATGAATATTTATGATATTTATTAGTAACTATATATATAATATATATATATATATATGCATATATATATATGTATAATGCATATAAACATATTTTTAAGTATACTTAATAGAGAAGAATTAAAAACTATTAGCAAATTTAATATTTATTAATAATATATTATCAGTAAATTATTAATAAAACATTCTATTTTTATTAGTATATATTAATAGATAATTTTTTAAATATAAATAAATATCTTTAAATATATAAATTAATAGAAATCAAGTAAATTTATTAGAATAATCTGCTAGATATTTATTAATAGCTACTTATATATTTATATATAAATATATAAATTATATAACTTAATCTTATTTATATTAAGAAAATCTATTATAAATTTTTAAACAAATTTTTACTATATATTATCAAAACTTTATTATATATTTTATTTAATTGAAACTAACTTGCAATATATTTTTTAAAATGCAATCATATTATATATACTCTTGAATTTAATTTATTATTACTAAAGAAATTAATTAAAAATTCTTATAAAAAACTTAAATAAATAAGTTTTAAGCTCAGAAAATTTTCAGAATTATATTAAAATTTTCAAGATAAATTATTTAAAAAGTTGAAATTTATCTGCTCAAAACTGAACAACTTGATGAAAACAAAAAAATATTTTAAAATCAAATTAAATGAGATTTAGCTACTTACTTTCTAATATATTATGATTAGTACTTATAATTTCATTTAATTTAATTCACAAATTTAAAAGATATTTAATTCTATGTGTGCAAATTTTAAACTAAATTTTCTCAAAAAAATAAATTTAGTTTATTAAAAGAAAGAACTATAATAAATATATAATGCTAGCAAATTAAAATATCAATAAAAATATTGATTCTTAATTTATTAATTTATAACTTATATGAAAAAAGCATTTATATAATAATATTGTAAAAATAATAGAATATAAAAGATAAAAAATATGCATATTTTAAGATAAATATTGATGATATTTCTATTATTATAATAACAAATATTTAACTATCAAATAGAATAAACTTTTTCAAAATTGAAAGATTCAACTATTTCGGAAGCTCGATCATGACCACCTTCTTTAGCTTTTTTATACCACTTTAATGCTAAGTCAAGATTTTCCGAAATACCTATTCCATATTGATAAAATTTTCCAAGATTAAATTGAGCCTTATTATTTCCATTCTCTGCAGCTCTTAAATACCAATCAAATGCTTTCTTGTCATCTTTGTTTGTTCCTTCACCATATTCATAACATTGTCCAAGTCGAAAATAGAAATGGAAATTGCCGTTTTCAGCAAATTTTAAAAGATCCTTAAATAACGCTTCTTCCAAACTTTTTGGAATTAAATTTCTTGTATAGCTATATCTCAATAAGAATTGGCTTCTTTCAACACCAGAATTAGCAGATTTTAAAATTAACTCAAATACTTTATCCTCATATTTTTTTATTTTTGTATCATAGCTTAAGGCAAGGTTATATTCCATGAAAGGATTTCCCGACTCTGCTGCTTTCAAGTACCACCCGAATGCTTTTTGTTCATCTTTGATTGTTCCTACTCCATTTTGGTAGCAATAACCAAGATTATTTTGTGCATTCAGGTGTCCTGACTCTGCTGCTTTCGAATACCACTCGAATGCTTTTTGTTCATCCTTAATTGTTCTTATTCCATTTCGATAGCAATAACCAATATTATTTTATGCATTCAGGTGTCCCAACTCTGCTGCTTTCAAGTACCACTCGAATGCTTTTTGTTCATCTTTGATTGTTCCTATTCCATTTTGGTGGCAATAACCAAGATTATCTTGTGCATTAAGGTGTCCTGACTCTGCTGCTTTCAAGTACCACTCGAATGCTTTTTGTTTATCCTTGATTGTTCCTACTCCATTTTCGTAGCAATAACCAAGATTATCTTGTGCATTAAGCTCTCCATACTCTGCTGCTTTCAAGTACCGCTCGAATGCTTTTTGTTCATTTTTGATTGTTCCTATTCCATTTGGTAGCAATAACCAAGATTATTTTTGTGCATTAAGGTGTCCTGGCTCTGCTGCTTTCAAGTACCACTCGAATGCTTTTTGTTTATCCTTGATTGTTCCTACTTCATTTTGGTAGCAATAACCAAGATTATTTTTGTGCATTAAGGTGTCCCAACTCTGCTGCTTTCAAGTACCACTCGTATGCTTTTTGTTCATCTTTGATTGTTCCTTCTTCACTTTTATAGAAGTTATTTTTTGCTTGAAAAAGTCTAGACTCGGAGAATTCAAAATCATTTAATTTTTCTATATTTTCTATATGTATTTATTTGTTTTTGACTCATGATTTGATAATTGAGATGATGTTAAATTTTTTTTTACTTGATCCGAATAAATTAAATTTGGATTTTTGACGTTAAGATATATTTAAATTTGCATGGATGAAGCTGTAATTTTAAAAAACTTATTTATTCTTGAAAGAAATAGAGTTCTACGACCGGTAAAAAACCGCTTATGAAGATTTTATATTGGCGACAATTCTTTTGTTCTCGGAAATAATAAAATAATTTCTTACCTTTTTGGTATTGTTTTACATGTACATGTATTCAGTTTGAAACCAGTTTTGAGGACTGGTTTACCGAATAAACCGAAAATTTTCAAGTTTTATGCAGTAAACGATATATATTCTCTTAAAAAATAATGATACCGAAATTTAAATTTAATTATGCAAAAATAAATTTCGACTATGTTAGGTTAATTAATACTCTATATCGATATTACAAATGTGACGACTTTAAATTTTAAAACGCTTAATACTTTTCATCTGCTTAGCAATGAAGTAAGATTTGAGTTATTAGTTTCGAAAGACAAAAAAGTATTGAACCAAGTCAAAGCTTAGCATCTATTATCAAATCAGATACAATCGTCATAAGAGTCAACTTGTTTGGCAATATCATACATAATTGCTAGAAAAATTACAATATGTGAATTTCAACGATTGTTGTGGAAGATGATTTCTCAGTTAATTTTTCTTTCTGTTGTGCCATATTATGAATATCAGCATTTGAAAAATTCGTTATCGTTATTTATTATTGTGTTATACAAAAAATTGGTCTAGAATGATAAAACGAATCGAAATCTCAAGCAACCATATGCGGCTGCGACTCCTTCGAATCAACATACTTTTGTTTCCCGATAAACAACGATGAGATAAGAGCGATGCCAGCAAACACAGTATTAACACGGAAAACGGATTGAAGGGAAAGCACGTAGACTTGGATGATTTGTGAGTAAACCGGTTCTGATAATATTATTACATCGGTAATTCTGTTTTCGACAATGTCTATTACTTGTGGAGTCTATGATTGTATAACGATAAGTATATGTGTGAATATATATAGTGGGTGAAAATATGCGGTGCACTTACAAGTAATTCCGGTGAGACTTCGTTAAGCAGGTTCGATTTTATTTCGTTCGCGAAAATTGAGGACGCTGCTGCGACACCAATCCCACCACCGATTGATTGAAAGAATCCAGCTAACGCTGTTACTATTGCCATATCTAAAAAATTTGTTAGCAATTAAACATGAACATTACCTAAGAGTGAACAACCGAATCGTTTACCTTTTTCTGCAGAAGCACTCTGAACAGCCAATAAACACATTTGCAGCTCGAATCCCAATCCAATTCCGATAATCAATAGATAAAAAACTTGCTTAACAACCGACGTGTTCTGATCAAGCGTACATAATAATCCCTCACCCACAACAATCAACACTTTCCCAAACCAAATAAAAGTTCTGTAACCACCGGGAACTTTAGTGACCATCATGCCCGTCAGCATCGAAAAAATCACCAGACCTAGCGTCAATGGCAATAGATTAAATCCGGAACTTGTGGCGGATTGGCCGTGAATCGCTTGATAGTATAGCGGACCGTAGAAAATTACAGAGAAAAATGCAGCACCCGTGAAGAAATTCGTAATAAATACGGCACAGACTGTGAGACTTTTGAAAATGTGCCCGGGAACAATTGGTTCAACTGCGATTCGAAATTCGATAAATATAAAGATTGCGAGAAATACAGCAGACGAACAGTATAATGAAATCACAGGGATCGAATTCCATGCATAACTAATGCCACCCCAAGAAGTTGGCAATAGAAATGTTATGACGCACATAACGATAAAGATTGATCCGAGGTAATCTATCCTTGCTAACTTGTCCCGTAATGTTGTTGATTTGAAAGAAAGTCGTAAAAAGAAGGTTGTTGCAGCGATCGTAATTGCTCCTAAAGGAAGATTCATGTAGAACTGCAAAATGTATCATGTAAATAGATTAAGGAAAAAGAATCTCGATGACACACTACATGTAAAAAGGAATTCAATTCTCACATCCCACCGCCAACTCAAATGATCGACAAATGTGCCGCCTAACAATGGTCCGAGAACGCTAGAAAGACCGAAAGTTGCCCAAATAATAGCTTGATATTTTGGTCTCTCTTCCAATGGGAAAATATCACTAATTATGATTAATACTAATGATATTATTCCAGCACCACCGGTTCCAGCAATAGCTCGAAAAAATAATAGTAAATCCATGGAATTTGAAGCCCCACATCCTGCCGATCCACCCAAGAAAACAAGCACAGCAAAAACTAAAGTATTTTTTCGTCCAAATATATCGGAAAATTTCCCGTAGAGAGGTTGACAAGCATTCTAGAGAGAAATCATCTTAATGTTATTTTCTATCTCTATTTCTTACACGTATATTTGATGACGATTACTACTTACATAGGTTAATAAATATGCGTTGACCACCTGTCAAAGATCAAAAATATGAAATAAAAATATGAACATATGAAAATTCCTTTTTCAGTGTGACTTCCAATGATGGTGAAATGTACATAATTTTACTTGTACTACTCACCCAACTATATTGATCTAAGGCGCTAAAATCGCTAGCGATTCTCGGAAGTGCTGTGCTGATAATAGTTCCTATCAAGCAAGCATTTGAAAAATTAAAAAAAGATGATTTAAAACGTAAACACCAATAAAATTAATAAATCACTACATGTACCATCTAAACCAGCCAAAAAGCACGCCAAGACTAATCCAACAAACAAAAATGCAATATCTTTTGCTGTTAAGTTGACGAAATCAGTTTCTTTTTTGCTTTTCTCTTTTTCATCTTGGTTTGATATCAGGGTAGTCGATGCGGAAGAATTTAGCTCTACTTTTGATAAATTTTTTTCCTCTTTTATTGCTACAGCAAGATTGTCGTTTGCGACGGTGGTGGTGGTGGTGGTGGTGGTGGTGGTGGTTGTATCTTGAGACATTGCTTTACTTATGGTTTAACTCTTATTTTCATCGAAGGAAACTCTAATAATAATAATTTCGTACATACACGAATTTCCTTTAAATCCGTAAATGTTGTTTTTGCTGCCGTCGTTAGAATTCAACAATATATCAGATCGGAGGAAAGTTAAACAGAAGAAACATTTGCTAAGTTACTTTAGATATTTATATCTTTTCCATTATGATAATGGAATACATATAAATTTTAAATTGTATGCATTACGCGTGTGGAATCGTTTACTAGCATTTTAAGATTGTTATCTTGTTACATTTACTTCATATTGATGTCATTCCAAGAATTTTCCGAGGCACTCATATGCAAAAATAGAAGAAATTTAGATCGATATGGGTTTTGTTTAACCTATATTTACTACTAATTCCGTGTGCCATACCAACATAAGGTTGCATGTATACTTTTTTGACTCTTACTAAATATTAATTGGCATAATTTCAATATTAGCGTTGAAAATTTTTTGTTTTATTAATACAATTTTTTATCTAATTATAACATAAACTCGACTTCAATTAAAAATCACATGAGAAAAACAAAATAATATCGTTATTTACAAAACGTGCATTGACAAAGACTTTTTTTCCGCAAACGTCCAGACTAAACACATGTACATGTACATGTATAGCATTAGTGCAAAGATGTCCGTGAAACACTAAAATGACAACGATGGTAATATGATCATATGTTTATGCTTAACCTTCTATTGAAATTTCTAAAAACGGGTATTACATGAGACCAATAAACGTGTAAATCATATTAACTTCTCATAAATTACGTGATTATAGCGATAGAATGTTGATATATGGGCAAATTTCTGGAACTGGAATTCAAACTTCAAAGAGAGAGATATACAGTACATGTGATATCGCGCATTATTATTATTTATTAGTTTACATTAAATAAAAACTTCAAAATGCAATTCGATTAAAATATAACAAAAATTATAGAACGTAATGAGATATTTAATTCTTTTTCATAGCCGATAGACATACATTTATATTATTCAACCTTTCATTCTTGATACAGATCATTTGCATGAATAGAAACTTAAAATGCTATAAACTCAAAAATGTGTTGAAATATTGTGTAAACTGTGTTAGAAATTATAACACAATTTACATTGTTCATATTGCACTTGGTTCCAATGAGATTTTAGACAAATATTGGTCATTTCTATTGAATTCATTCGTATGCAAAGTTAAAACAATAAATCTTAACAAGTATCTATGGATACAAAAAGTGATAATATTCCCATTTTTTGCAAATAATTTTACTTTTGAACACTGCTAATTTCTTGTTCACCTAAAATAATATTTCCATGTTTTATCAACACATACACCAGTCAGTTAATGAATTGTACTGGTGTATCGAAAAATATATTTTATAATTCATCCCTTGTTATCAATCAATAGGTTGAATTTTATCTTCCTACAGTATATCAACTTTTTCTCCTTTTTCTTGAATATTTCAATCATATTTAAATAAATTTCATCATGTTAAAAATACAACAATTACCCAAAATCTCTGTCAAATATTTTTTATATCTGAAAACTTATGGGACGGGAACTATGATGATGGTGTTCGTGAGTTATAAGAAGTAGATGCTGGAATATTAATATCACGGACAATGCACAATTGATAATAGATGCCACCCAACAACCTACACACATCCCGACAACCCAACATCCCGACAATCCAGCTTTCCGAAATCCAACATTCTGACAACCTAACATCCCAACTTCCAACATCATTTTAAATGTTGATAAATGCTAATGGTCGATCTCCATAAAAACAAAAATTTGACTAGTTTGTCAGGAAGTTATATTTGTCGGGAAGATTGGATTTGTCGGGAAGTTATTAGATTATCGGGATGTTTGGTATGTCGGGTTGTCGGGATGTTTGATTTAGGGAAGTTGGATTGTCGGGATGTTGAACTATTGGAAGTTTGGTTGTCGGGAGGTTGGATTGTCGGGAAGATGGATGTTGGTAGACCCAGAAAAAGGGTAAAGAAATGAATCACTTAAGTGATTCATTTAAAGAAAATATGGAAAATGTATAATTGAGTTAAATAATAAATGAATTTAAAATTTTATATTTATTAATTAATTAGTTTGAATAAATAATAAACATATTTAACCTCAAAAATTATTGTATTAGCATATACAGTATGTTGGTTGAATGATCTGCAGAGAGTTTACAATAGAACTAACGGAATGAAGCCTAATAAAACTTGTACGCCTTCGATTGACGAAACTGGCGACCCTACAGAAAGATAAATTGGGTGGCTCAGAAAGAGTTTGATCACAGGGTTGAGGCCAGTAAAAGAAAACATGGATATTATCAATAAGACTCATCTGATCGAACAATCTCACGATTTATCCCGTAAATTGTCAATAATCGGTTCTGCTAGTAACAGCACAATGGATTTATATCTGCAATTGGTAAGGGAGGGTGCCATTTATCACGTGTTTTTACCATACATACATGGTGTGTGCATAGTATATGTTGACTATCACGTAACACAAAATCATAATATATCACGTGCTTTTTATTACATGTCTAATTACATAATGTTAAAAAAGAAAATTAATTGAACTAAAATTTTTTTTAAAAATTAAACATATCATTATACAGTACAGTCAATTCTCAATTCTTTGCTAGTATTTTTTATCAAGCATCCTAATTCATAAATTATTACTTAATATCACTCTGCACCTCATGTAGTCTCAGATCTGTTTCTTTCAGCCATCTATCACTATAATTATACTCTGCATTCTTGGCAACTCTCAAGTTTAACATATTGATTGTTGTAGTAATCATTGAGACTTCTGTTTCTGGCAAAGACTTTTATTTTCAAGATCAATCATGCTTGATTTAATGCTTGTGATACTTGTGACTTATAACAAATTTCAAAATAGGATAATACTTGTCACATATACTGCAATACAAATACTAATATATTTCATTTAAAATAGATGGGTATGAGCAATTATAGAGAGGAATCTTTAGTTTGTCAAAGTATTAAAGAGTATATATTAGATTAACAAAATATCTATTCTTGGTTTTGATAATAGGAGGAAGAAATTTATTATTCTCTTCTAACAAGATGATAGTATTAGGAGCTCAATATTCATAATAACATTAATGATTCTTATACTTTTTTAGATCTATTGAGTAGTGATATAACTGAGTATGATTCTCAATCTATTCTTATATCAGTTATTCAAGATTAACAAATAGTTTAGAGTTCTCACTAATATATTATATTATCATAGGTTTGCTATATATTTTATCTTTCCTCCAAATTTCATATAATTTCTCTTCCAAAAATTCAAAGTTATACCATGCTAATTCTTTATTTATAATATTATCTTGAGAATTTAAATATGTTTTAAAGTTAGAGTAATCTTAATAAGCTTATCTGAAAGAAAAATCATATTATATTCTATAGAATTATAAGCATTCTATTTCAGAACATATGTTTGAATAGTTAAATAGTTAAGATCCAGAAAACAAAATAAGTTACAGTACTTGATAATATTTTTCAAGTATTTTGAATTCTTATCAGATCTATTATTAATAAGAAGAATCTATATGGATCTAACTTTATTTTCTCTTAATATAATAGAAATAAATTATAAATTGATAATGAGATTTAGCAAATCTGTCATATGAATCAATGATTACATATTGGCAAAATATTTTGGTCATACAAAAATAACAAGTTGACTAGCTTAAAGAGTATTATTTGAATTAGCAAAGTATAATAATTTTGATTTGATTATCTCTCTTTAGATTTCTTTTAGTTTAGATCTTTATTTTACACTATCTATATAACAGATTAGCTTTGTATTTGTAATCTTACTAGTTACGTGATGTAATATATCCAGATAATTCACAAAGAAGAATTGGATATAGTATTATATCAGGAAAATTCACACAGAAGATTCAA